AAATTAAACATAGAATTACCATATAATCCAGCAATTCCACTCCTAGGTATATTTCCAAAGGAACAGAAAGCAGGAACTCAAAAACATACTTGCACACGATGTTCACAGAAGCATTTTTCATGATAGTCCAATGATTGAAACAACCCAAATGTCCATCAACAGATGAATGGATAAATTAAAGGTGCTATCCTATATAATAAAAGCCTAATAAGCTAACTGGCCGGTCATCCAGTGACAGGTCAACTGTTCAACCAATCAAAGTGTAATATGCTAATGATATGCTAAGGCCACTCAACTGCTTGCTATGACATGCACTAACCACCAGGAAGCAGACATTCGACCGGTCGACCAGTCGCTATGATGTGCACTGACCACCAAGAGGCAGATACTCCTACCAGTAGGTTAGTTTGCTGCTGGGGTTCAGTGGATCGGGACTGAGCGAGATGGGCTGGACACACCCTGGAGCCCTCCCACAGTCCCTCCATGGCCCCAATCATGCACCAGTGGGGTCCCTGACCTGGCCTGTACCCTCTCAAATCTTGGACCCCTTGAGGGATGTCAGAGAGCCGGTTTCAGCCCGATCCCAGAAGCCACTCCCCTCAGGAGGGTGCCAGACACAGGGCTCACAGCTGGCAAGCGCTGCTGCGGGCAGCATGAGCCTCTCTCGATTGGGACTGATTGGGCAGGAGCCCACGGCAGGTGTAGTGGGGTTGGGATGAGTGGGAGCAGCAGGTAGGAGCTGTAGGTGGTGTTGGACTGCAGGTTTCAGCCCGATCCCCGCAGGCCACCCAGAGGGACCCCACCTGTGCATGAATTCATGCACCAGGCATCTAGTATACATATAATGGAATATTATTCAGCCATAAAAAGAAATTAAATTCTCATACATGATGCTTCAACATGGATGAACCTTGAATACATTGTGCTATGCAAAATAAGCCAGATACAAAAGTCAAATATTACATGATTCCACTTATATGAAGTACCTACAAGAGCAAAATTGATAGAGACAAAAAGTAGAGTAGAAGTTAACAGGTACTGGGGGTAGGGTGGAGAAAATGGGGAGTTGTTTAATGGGTACAAAGTTTCTATTTGGATTGATGAAAAGTTTTGGAAGTTGGTAGTGGTGATGGTTATACAACATTGGTAATTTTATTAACCAATGTCACCCCAATAAAATCAATAAAAAATGGTGAAAATGTTACATATATTTACCACAATTTTTTTAAAAAAGATCAGTGGTTTCCAGGAGTTAAAAAAAATGAAAAAGGGGCCCTAACTGGTTTGGCTCAGTGGATAGAGCATCGGCCTGCGGACTGAAGGGTCCCAGATTCGATTCTGGTCAAGGGCATGTATCTTGGTTGCGGGCACATCCCCAGTAGGGCGTGTGCAGGAGGCAGCTGATTGATGTTTCTCTCTCATCGATGTTTCTAACTCTCTATCCCTCTCCCTTCCTCTCTGTAAAAAATCAATAAAAATATATTTTGAAAAAAAAAAGAAAAAGGGATGAAGAGATGGAACATAGTATTTTGGGGGCAGTGAAATATTCTATATGACATTGTAATGGTGGATACATGTCACTATACATTGGCCAAAACCCAAAAGTGAACCCTACTGTAAACTATTAACTTTAGCAATAATAATATATTGGTATTGGCTCATCAATTGTTACAAACACCCCACACTAAATGCAAGATGTTAATAATACGGGAAATTGTATGTGACTAAGGGTGGGAAGTGGACATATGATGAGAACTCTCTGTACTTCCTGTCCAGCATTTCTGCAAATCTAAAGTTCTAAAAATAGTTTCAATATTAAAAAAATTATACTATAATAAGCATATTTTTCTAACTTGCTTTTTTCACTGTTCATACATTATCAACATCTTCCTAGGGGTTCAGCCTACACAGGCAGAGGCAAGTATAGGATGACAATGGGAAGGTTAGCCAAAATAAAGATGAAGCTGTGGAAGGAGGATGAGATTCAGAGGATGTGGGGATAAAGGGGCAGGGGATGTTGTACTCAAAACCCACAGAGAAGAAGGACTAGAATCTGAGTGGACACGCGGAGCTAACAGAGCCCTTGAGTCTGAGCATTCCAACAGGCTGGGAATTCGAGCAGGGCAGGGAGTTTCAGTTTATGCTTAGAGACTCTGGTCCCCTGCTGGCAAGAGGCTGGCATGACAGGATTGAGCAAGATCAAGGAGAGGACTCACACTCACTCCTGTGCCCAGCATATTTCTATGACTTCCCGGCAAGGGTGGAGTGAGCAGGTAAAAAGTCAGGCAATTGTGGTGGTCAGTTGCCTGAAATTCCGTAATAGAAATCTGCTGGGGCAGGTAAAAGCCTATGGGGGACCATGGGAAGGACCTGCTCCACCTAAAACAGGATGTGTGCACATTAACCTTGGCTTCCCATCTGATGCTGTTGCCACCCCTGTGTCACTTTCCATCTCCCAGGCATCCTTTCACATGACTCTCTGCCCAAATCCCACCAGGCAGGGAGGATGTGCCTGTCATAAGACCTCCTATTATCTCTGGGGATGCTTTAGGAAAGCACCTGGGGGGTGTTGGCTCAGCAGACCTGGGTCTTGTGTCTTCTTGTTCTAGAGGCCACACTAGGGACCCCCATCCCTTAGGCACAAAATCGCCATTCAGAGGAGGGACACATTCTTGCTTCTTCCCATCCTGGCTTTTCTGCATCTTGCTAGCAATGAACACATCATGCTAAGTGCTAGGGTCCCACCAGAGGTAGGGAATCCTGCCACCACCTCCTCCTCATTTGATAGAATGTTGTTGAGTCATCCTGGATTTCCTTCGGAATTAGAGAGGCAGGGGCATCCCACAGTCCCCTTACCATGTCATACGGAAACAACAGCCCTTCTGATGCTTCTCTCCTTCATTTATACTTATTCCCTTTGTGACTACCTGGTCTCATGGTTTTATATACATCAGTCAATCAATCAACCAACCAACCAATCATCTGTAGCCAGGACCTTCCCTGAGGACCATCAGGATTCTGTGTTGAGGATAGACTGTTGGAGATATTGTGTCAGGAAGAAGCTGGGAGATTAGTTATGATACTATTTGCAGTAATCGTAGCAGCAGAGGAGGTGAGAAGTGGTCATGTTCTGCATTTGTTTTGAAGGTAGAGACAAAAGGATTTACTGATGGATTGGAAGTGGACTGTTAGAAACAAAAGTCAATGAGGACACCAATTTTTTTGGCCTGAACAAATGGCAAGAGACAGGTGCCATTAACAGATGTGGGAATTACTGTGGTGAAAACAGATTTGGTATGTGTGATTGGGTGGTGGTGGTAGATACGTGGAATCAGGAGTTCACTTTTGAGATGAATAGTGGACATGCAAGTGTATATTTTGAGTAGGCAATTTGGGAATGTGAGACTGTCTACCCCATAAGATAATGACCTCCATGGAAGCAAGGCCTGTGTCTTGGTGAACGTTGTGTCTGGCATACAATAAGTATGGAACACAGTAAGTACTCAAATATTTTAATTGTTGAATGTAATGTGCCTCTTTTTAAAAAATATATATATTTATATTTGAGAGGAAGGAAGAGAGAGAGAGAAAGAGAGAGAGAGAGAGAGAGAGAGAGAGAGAGAGAGAGAGAGAGCAACACCAATGATGAGAGCAACACCAATGATGAGAGCGGTTCATCATTTGGCCGCCTTCCGCATGCCCCACACTAGGGATTGAACCTGCAACCTGGGAATTGTGCCTTTTAAGGTCATTTTTATTGTGACCCCTTCATGTGACCCTAGGGTTCTTCTCATCAGCTGAGTACTTCCTCCTGTGGTCGGACCCCACACACCATAATACTCATCACATTAATGTAGTCATTGGTCTACTTTGCCCAGCCCAGGCTCATGGTTCCATGAGCTCCATTGGAGGAGGGCCTGTGGGCTGTTCACTGTTATGTCCCTAGGGTCTGGCATAGTACCTAGCATATAAAGTACTCAGATATCTGAATTGTTGAATGCAAAATTCAGCTAAAAGTCATTTTTATTGTGACCCTTTTGAGGAACTTCTCCTCAACTATTCTTCACTTTAGGAGGCATTCATTCATGCAACTGAAAGGCAATGAGGGTCAAACAGGCAACAGGCTACTGCAGGTTCCCAGATGGCTAACCCTTAAAGAGTTAATCAATAACAACAGGGCACAGAGAGAAAAGATGCTATCATTTACTTCTGACATCTGTCATATTAGCTTTGTGCTTTTGATAAACACAAAGCACCTCCCCAAGGATGGTGCACACTCCTCTAAAACCTTCCCTACAGGTTCTGGATATACAGAGTTTATCCATAAATTGTGTCTATGGGCCAAAAATGCACTGGATTCCTGGCCACTACTTCTTGTGCTGTCTTCATGTTCACATTGCTCCTCTGGGGCCCAAAGACACTATCAGAAGAATTCAAGCCTGATCTTTGGCTTCAATGCACCTTAGAGAAGGGTCTTCCTTTTCTGCCCAAGTCCCTTTATCTGTAGTTCAGGGTGGAGCTGAAAGAGTTACATGGAATGCTAATCCATCTGAAATATGAATTTAAGCTCTTATACCATATGGGAAGTACTATCTACCTCCTCTACTCTCTTGATTACATATCACATTGAAAATAAGCAGGCAAAAACAGGTGGTTTTTTGCATAGAGTTATAGTGTATATTTGAAGAAGGTACTGCCTCACCTGCAAATTAATGGAAACGATGACAGCCTTTTTCAGAAATATGCAGAGGTTTTGGAAACCCTGAACTCTTTTTTTTCTGGGATGGGTTTTCTCCCTGTATAGACTAGTGCCTCCTGCTGAGGTGAGAGTTGAGACCTGGCATGGACTTTTGGTTGAGTGGCACAAGTCAGCTGAGGACAGTGCTTAGATCTGTTGTGGGAAAGGCACTGGAACCATGAGTGGCCAGGCTCAAAGGGGTGTTGCTGGAGTTCATTGTCTAGGCACTGGTGGGCATCAAAGAAGGTGATATTCTTGTCCTCTATTGCTTCATAGGGCGTCTGGTGGAGGGTGGACTCTTCTCAACCTTTTTGGTCGTGGTTTTGGCCACTGTCTCATCCTTAGAAAGGAGAATGGATTCTTTATGCCCTTGATCTTTCAACTTGTGTTTAATCCAGTGTGTAAAATGCTTCATCTTATTTCCCAAGCCAGCTTCTGCAGCTTCTGGAAGGGTAGGGCTCTTGTGAATGTGAGCTGCCTTTACCAGACCCTAAAGCTCCTGATCCTAGAAAGTGTGACCCTACAAATTTGGTTCCTGAAAAGTTTGGATCTGAAAAATGTGGGCCCCTTCAAATGCTGGACTTGCAAAATTTGGCCTAGTGAATGGTGGCCCAGAAGGTGATCCTGTAAGGTCAGGCCATTTCAGCTCTGGACACTGCAGATTTGGCATTCTCAGGAATCCTTATTTGGATGAGGTCATTCAGCTTGCCCTACTGGCCCTGCAGACCATTCTTATCTGGACATTCTGCCCCAAGAAATCTTGGAGGATGCTCTAAGAACTCAAGGTGAGGGTGACTCTATAGATCCAGACTTGTCATTGCTAGTCTCTACTCACTCAAGGCAACCATCTTGGTCAAATTAAAATTCTATTTGAGAAAGATCCTGGAGATACAGTTGTGAAGTCAGGGGCTCTGGTGGTCCAACTTAGAAGTGTCCCTACATAACCTTGAATTTTGGCACAGTAGATGTTCTTTCTGGCTGGGGCGAACCTCAGTGTTGCACTCCCTTCTCTGTCATTCTCTGCTGTTTTGAGTTTCCCTGGGTCCTCTATTTTCTCTGCTGGAGTAGGGAGTTGTCTCTATCTTGGAGAGACCTGGGGCTAAGGAGCCTAGGGCTCCTCCTGGCTGTGGTTGTTCACACTGGCCTCCAGCTGAACACAAAGCACCCAAATCTCTGTCATGTCCCCACTGGGTTGTGAGATCTTGAAGGCCCAGTGAGTAGAACCATAAGGACTGCTCTGTAATTAGCTTGCTTTTGGTTCTGTGCACCACCTTAGTTTATTTGCAAGCTCTTCTTTAAAGTGGACCCTTCAGGGGCACATGGGATGCCTGGTGGGAGGGGGAGTTCCTGGGGCAATGTTTTCCCTTGGTTGTTTAGATTCCTAAAGGGCTCCTTGGCCCAGCTATTCCTTGAGATAGCCACAGTTCCTTCCCTGGACTCCTTTGTCATTATGAGATGTCCCACATGTATCTCCAGGAATTTCTTTTTCAGGTAAAAATTTAGTTTGGCCAAGACGGGTGTATTGAGTGTAACAGGGTACTAGGATCTGTCTGGCTATCTAGAGGCACTGTATCCATTAGCCTGTACTTCAATCTGGAATGCTCGAGCACTGTCTGCACAAGTTTCATCGGCATCCTGAAAGCATGGCCAGGACTTACACGTTGCTGTTTACATGAGATTGAGTCAGAGGCTCTATTGGACCCCCAACAAACCCAGGCTCCATCTCTGTAATTGCTGATTGGCTACTGATTGCTGGGGCCATGACCTTGGAGAAAGCCATGTAGTAAAGAGACAGCACCCCTGACAGAAGGCCAAAACTTGTCTCACTGACTCAGTTTCTCAGTGACTCCCTGCAAGGATACCCACGCAGGTGCTGCTCAAGGTGATCAGCGACAGCATATGGTGAGGTTTGTTGCTGCTGGTCAAGACCTGTCAGTATTCAGGGTGTTACTTTCTGATCCATTTAAGGGTTGATTGCTGCCTCCACACAGAAGTTTACTTTCTGGGCTGTAAGGGAACAAAGTTGCTTCCAGGGCCCCTGAAATGCTGCAGACCCAGAGATTTACAGTCCCCCCATGCAGACATGGACAGGGACAGTACCTAGTAGATCTCCCCCATTTGTAGTCTGGCTCTGCAACATTGCCTTGGCCAGGGCAAGCAACTGTGAACTGGTCCTGTTGCCACAAAGTATCAGAACAGGTCCCTATCCCCACTGGCCTCTAGGTCTGCAGATTAGGGGACACTCACACTGGTTAGGGTGCTGCTCCAGGGCAAGGGCTGCTGGTCATCAGGGGACAGAAGAAACTGGATGGACTGCTGGATCTTCTGGAGCAGGCCCTAGCAACGGTGAATTGACCTGCTAAACCGACCCCTTCTGCAGGTGGAACTCCAGCAGCTCTGGGCCTGCTCCAGGAAAACACTACCTGCTTCTTCCTGAATGAAATAGGCTTCCCCAACAGGTAGGCCCCTGAGTCTCAGGAGATAGGTTGCTTAACATATCTCAGGGCTTATGTTGCACGGTTCTCTGCATCTACAGAGATCTCTGGGCAACAGATGGCAAGTCCCACTGAGGCTGGAACTTCCTTTGCAGCAGTGCCACTCCAAGGCTTCACAATTGGTCAGAGTTGGAAATGGGACGTTGATATGGGCCTGTTGATAGTCAGATGGAGAAGCCCAAATTCAGAAATGTGGGAAGAAGGTAGAGCTACCCGACAGTAGAGACTAAGGAGAAATCACTGAAGGGAAAGGGACTGGGGACTCCCCTTTTGTGGAGAGATCTCCAGGGGTGGACCAGGGACTGTGCAGAAAAGAGGAACCATGAAAAAATAGCTGTGTTTATGCTGCAGATAACACACTGAATTCTCAGTGTGTTGCCAAGGTAATGGACAGAGACCACTTAGTAACCAAAGGGTGAGTCATGGAGTTTGGGATTTGCTTGCAGTGATATTTGCTCTGGATCCATAGTGGATCCTCCAAAAACCCAGAAAGTCTGGGTGGACTGGCTGAACTCCCATGACCCCAGGGGCCCCAAAAAGTAAGCCCCTGTGTGGAGGCAGCAATAAGCCCTTACGTGGATCAGGAACTGACACCCTGAATACTGACAGGTCTTGACCAGCAGCAACAAACCTTACCAGATGCTGTCGCTGATCACCTTGAGCAGCACCGGCATGGGTACCCTTGCAGGGAGTCACTGAGAAACTGAGTCAGTGAGACAACGAAGGCCTCCGAGGCAGCATTATGATGAAAGAAAAAGTTGTTTTTTCCCTCCAGGCTTGGAACCTATTCACGGTAGTGTGATATAAGCTGCCATAGGGCCTCTTCCACACATCTTGGAAGCCCTCAGCTATAGAAATGCATGAATTTATCTATCTGTATTTAAAGATACCTCGCACCTTTTGTGACACAGGAACAACAGGTGAAGGGACTGCAAGGCCATGGGGGTATTTTAGGTTTGTGAACTTTGGGTTCAGGGAAGGAAAAGGTATTCAAGGGCAGCTGACCTTGTTTCTCTGAGACATATTCGGTGTTGCTCGTCTTGTTCTGTTGGTTCACAGGAATCCTGCACTCCTCAAGGCTCCAAGAAGACGGATCTCTTGCGTCCCAGAACACATCTGGTGCTTGAAATTCCTGCCTTAGTTGGTGGTCAGCCCAGTAATCTTGGATGCTGATTGCACCAGTTGACTGGGGAGCTGACTGGGTTAAGGATTTGTGATCCTTTAGTTGTGTCATTGAGGGGGTTCCAGGTGGAACTGAAAGCTCTCTGGAGTGCTGGGAACTCTGACTTGGATCAAAAGACAAATTAGACATGGACAAAATATCTAGGCAAGAGGAGCCCTGCGATCGCCTCGATGAAGTGGGAGAGATGGGGGCATTCTCACTCTCCAGCAACTGCTTAATCTCCAGAGCCATAGCATTGCAGACAGGGCAGGAGGGGTCTGCACACAGGAGCCTCCGCACACTTCCCTCCTGAGGAAACCAGCGCTGGCTGGAAGAGGAAACATGGCAACTGTTATTGATGGGGTGACAGCTGCCTCTTTGGAAGCTGTGGCCTGAAGATTGGCCCTGCCCCCCGAGTCCTTCACACCCTGGGGCACACCCCCCACCCAGTGTTTACTCCCCTACTTTTCTTCCTAAGAAATTGCCACTTGGCAAGTTATTGTGTGCTGGGCTGAGGGTCTGGGGCTTGTTGGGCAAGGTCTCAGACAACCCGTGAGAACAGAGCCATGAGTGAGAGGTGGGTGAGTTCTTTGTTGACCTGGGCTGAGCAGCTTAACCAGAGATGGGAACAAAGGATGGGGAACTAATGGTTAGCTGATGGGATATCACCAGGGCCGTCACCAGGTAGAACTTGGACTCAGTCTCATTTAAGGCGAAGAAGGCCACGGCCTGGTAGTTAGTATTTCCAAGCTGTGGACAATGAGGTGCTTGTGAGAACTCTGCATTCTAGGGACTCTGATGAGTTGCTGTTATCTATAAATAACATCTCTTGGGAGCCAATCCCATTCTCTAGGGATTTTAAGAAGAGGATGAGATGACAAGCGCCTCGCTGGGGGCTGTCTCAGGAACTGAGCTCCCTGAAGACAGAACCAGAGGAAGTAATATCAGCAAGGTCTAGGGGTCTGCCCTTGAAAGGGTGTAGCTGTAAGAAGAGGATGAGAGTGATTACTTAGGTATGCACTTATTTATCCATTCTCTTGGCTGAATCACTTGTCTCATGGCTGAGTGCAGATCCATGTAGAGCCTTTTATGAATTAAGTACAAGTCAAATTCTGAATTCCAGGAGCACTGTGAGCTTAGCCCAGAGCAGAACTAGGACTCCTCCTCCTGAGATATGTGAGGCCTCCCTTGCCCTGGCAACCCCCTCAACCAATGCTCCAGCCTCCACTGTGTCTGACTTCCTCCTAGTCTTCATCCCTCTCTTCATCCCTCTCCCAGGCCAAGTAGAGAAATCATCACAGTTCAGACTGGAGCTGGAAGACTACAAAGAGCAAGTGATCACCTTTTCATGATAGCGATCAGCTCCCATGGCTTCTTATCGTCTCTGGAGGAATGTTTTCTAGCTGAGAAACCAGGAGACAGTGTTACATGGAATAGGAGAGGAGTCAGGGACATACTGTAGGAAGCTGAAGGTCAGAGAAACGTTCCATGGGAACCTTGCCCACAGTGGAGGGGAGTCAGAGAAGAAACTGGGACTTTACCTCTTGATGTTCTATCTTTAGTCCTTTGTTTAATTCTCCGTTGATGCTAAAAAAAAAAAAAGTTAGAGTATGAAGCTGGAGCATACTTTTTTTTCATGTCAAAATGAGACAAAACCTGCAAACTTTTTTCTGTATACCAATTTTATACATTCTTCTTTCTTTTCCCTACTCTACCTTTTTCACCCCATCATTTCCTTTCTCTTATTTCTGATTCATTTTGAGGCACTTTCATACTCCATACTTCCACCCCCATTCCCTGAACAAGTTCTGTGGAGAAATCAGAATGAGCCCTAACCGGTTTGGCTCAGTGGATAGAGTGTCAGCCTGCGGACTCAAGGGTCCCAGGTTCGATTCCATGGTCAAGGGCATGTACCTTGGTTGTGGGCACATCCCCAGTATGGAGTGTGCAGGAGGCAGCTGATCGATGTTTCTAACTATCCCTCTCCCTTCCTCTCTGTAAAAAAATCAATAAAAAAATATATTTTTTTAAAAAAGAATGAGACAGGAGAAAAAAGTAGAATAAAGGATGGATGGTCTAGTAGCCAAGAGACTTTAGCCATTCAAGGCTCTAAATGCTTACCATCCAGCCTGGCTGGCAGGGCTCAGTGGTTGAGCATTGACCTATGAATCAGGAGGTCGAAGTTCAATTCCCGGTCAGGGCACATGCCTGGATTGCCGGCTCAATCCCCAATGTGGGGCATGCAGGAGGCAGCCAATCAATGATTCTCTCTCATCATTGATGTTTTTATCTCTCTCTCCCTCTCCCTTCCTCTCTGAAATCAATAAAAATATATATTTTTAAAATGCCTACCAACCAGAAGAATCACCCACATTTAGAGCCAATAAGGATACCCCCATTAAAAAAGCAGGGAGTAAGGTAACAAGAGAAATTAAGGAAATAAAATCTCATTTGAGGCTTAATCGCTTCAGTCATGGATATAGCTTTCCCCTACCTGGCAACCACTCTTGTAAGGTCCAAATTTCAATCTTTGATGGTTCTTTTTCGCTTGCCAAATAATTAATGCAATAATGATGATGTAGCCATAAGTGTATAAGGGATATCCTATTTCCCACAGAACAAATGTAGGGTTCAACATGATCTAAACTTAGCCATCCTCCTCCTAGGCTTTCAAGATCTTGAAACATAATGAGTCCATATTCTAGACCTTGTCATCTCCGCCTCATAGAGGATGCAACCAGACCAACAGACTACATCACAAAGCCCTCCTGTTTCACAAGGAATGTGGATCATTACAGACCTTTATCTGTCTAGACAGTGATTTTCAACCTTTTTCATCTCATGGTACATATAAGCAAGTTGCTAAAATTCTGCAGCACACCAAAAAGTATATATTTTTGCTGATCTGACAAAAAAACAACAACTATAATCTTGATTCATTCACACTGGATGGCTATTGTTGCGTTGGCTGTTGTCACTATTTTTTTATATAAAGTATTTCTGCAAGGACATCTGGTGTCTTTTAATAAGAAATGGTATTTAAGCTCCTTCTCATCACTTTTTTAAAATATATTTTATTGATTTTTTTACAGAGAGGAAGGGAGAGGGATAGAGAGCCAGAAACATCGATCAGCTGCCTCCTGCATGCCCCCTACCGGGGATATGCCCGCAACCAAGGTACATGCCCTTGATCGGAATCGAACCTGGGACCCTTCAGTCCACAGGCTGATGCTCTATCCACTGAGCCAAATCGGTCAGGGCGGCTGTTGTCATTTTTTAAAAATTTGACAATTTAAGGGAAAAGAGGTCAGTGTCCCTGACTAAAAAGTCAGGTATTGCATGCTTTAAGACTCTTGTGGCACACGAGTTGAAAATCGCTGGTCTAGGAGAAGCTCATGTGATTCAGTATTCAGATGAGAGTATCTGGTTGTCTGTATGGAGTGCAGGGTGTAGGCCTAAAGATGCTAAGGTCACGGGCAGCATATGTTCTTTCATGCTCTTTCTATTTCCTGTATCCTGATGGCTCACCTCTCTCCTTTAAGACAATAGTGGGACAACTACCCCCAGGTAACTGAGCCTTTATGCATGCTGCATTGCCCTGTAAGCGTGAGAGAGAGGCTAGGTCAGAGGCACTCCATAAATAACATCCCCTGTAGTGAGAAGATAACTAAAAACACACAAGAGGATAGGGCACCCGATGTCTTGTTAAGTCTTGGAAAGTGAGGGTTTTGATGTCACAGGCAATAAATAGATGGTCATGTGGAAAAGTTCAGGAAGAGCGCCATGTCTGATGTGGCCAGGAAAGGAAATAACTGCTGTCCTTTTAAATAACTTTCTAAGTTACTAAAAAAGGCACTTTCCACTCTGGCCAAGCTTGAGATGGACAAGGGAGACTGTAAAATGCCTTTGAGGGAGGCACGTGAATGAGGCTTACCTCTGGAGCTTGATTTTCCAGAATGGCCTAAACGGATCTTATAGCATCCTGTCTATGCATGGAGATGGATTTATTGGCAAGATTTTTTATTAAGGACCATAAACTTGTGGCTCTTTGTTTGACTCCATCATGGTTGGAATGTTTGGCTGAATGTGTTATGAACATCTGAATTTGAACACATTTAGGCAGAGCAAGTTTCTTCCTGTTCAGCTTCAATACCCACCATCCTTATATCCACTGATTCACATATTAATGTTAACCTTCCTGGCCCTTGTTGACATTGTGATATGCCTCCAACACTCCTGGATTTCTGAATTTCCTTAAGAAGTTCTTGCCCTGCCCTAGCTGGTTTGGCTCATTGGATAGAACATCGGCCTGCGTACTGAAGGGTCCCTGGTTTGATTCCAGTCAAGAGCACATGCCCAGGTTGCAGGATTGATTCCCAGTAGGGGGCATGCAGGGGGCAACCGATCAATGATTCTCTCTCATCATTGATATTTCTATCTCTCCCTCTCCCTTCCTCTCTGAAATCAATAAAAATATTTTTTTAAAAAAGAAGTTCTTGCCCTGATGAGAGTGGTCCTACAGCTCGAATATTCTTAAGCTCCAAATTTCTGAAGAGGCTTTTGGTCCTGCCTCCAGCATCCAGTCTCCCGCCTAACAAGTGTGGTGAGTATGTCAAAGCACAAAGACATTGAGTTGTGTTACCTGCCTGCTCAAAAGACACTTAAAAAATCTAGTTTTAATGACAAGACTAATTCACATGAATCAAGAACTAACCTTACCAGGAGTTTGGAAAGAGGGGAGTAGGGAGTTATTATTTAACCAGAGTGCATGAATTTTCATGCACTGAGGGGGGGGGGGGATCCCTCAGCCTGGTCTGCCCCTTCTCACAGTCCGGGAGCCCTCAGGGGATGTCCTAAGCCGCAGTCTGGCCTCCCTCTGAGGGAGGCGACCAGGCCGATCAGGGGAAGGTGATGCCCCCATCGCACTGCTGCTGCTTCAGCCACTGCTGGTCGGTCACAGCAGCAGCAGCCACCATCCTCGGCTTGCCTGAGTCTTGGCCCGGCCCTTGCAGCAGCAGCCGCTGTAGCTTTGTCCAGAAGGACGTCTGGAAGATATCCGGTCTAATTAGCATATTATCCTTTTATTAGTATAGATTATTAGTATAGATGGGTACAGAGTTTCTGTTGGAAATTATGAAAAAGTTCTGAAAAGGGTAGTAGTGATGGTTGCACAACATGTAAATGTACTTAATGACATTGAACTATACACTTAAAATGATTAAAATAGTTGATTTTATGTTAAGTATATTTAAGCACAGTTTTAAAAACAAATACAAAAAACAATCCTTAGCATGAGGGACTTTTGCTAGCTGTAAGGAAGAATATTCTGAAAATGATTTGATAAAATATTGGATAAGAGAGTATTTTTCTTGAATATTATTTTTATGTAGAACAAAATTTTAAAAATAGATCCTTATATTTCATCCTTGAAGATAGGATGAATTTGAGCCATTTTGACATCTTTTCTGAACTTGAAAATTCCATAGTACAGGAAAGAGAAGACTTTTTTTAACCCAAGAGCACTAAATGACAGGTTAACAAAAATCAATTTAAACGCAGCTTGCATCAGCTTTTCAGTAGCAGGTCAACATACCTACAAAGTAGCTTGACTCCTTTTAAAAAATACATATTTTTATTGATTTCAGAGAGAAAGGAAGTGGAAGAGACAGATGGAAACATCAATGATAAGAGAGAATCATTGATCGACTGCCTCCTGCATGCCCTGCACTGGGGATCAAGCCTGCAACCGGGCATGGGCGCTAACCGGGGAACCGTGGCCTCCTGGTTCATAGGTCGATGCTCAACCACATCAAAGCCATGCTGGCTGGGCTAGTCTGACTCTTACGTTACTTTTATTATTACTACCCAACCTGGTCCTGCTTCCTGCAGCTACTACTTCTCTCTACGGTGCTGCAATAGTTCTATCTCCCGTTAACCTGATGCAGTGTGGTGCTGTGTGGTATTTGGTGTCCTCCTCCTCTGGACTCTGAATATATGTGCTTAATAAGCTACTATCAATCCCATAGGTCCAGTGTCAGTGTCATGCATTCAGCCATCCCCAGAACGCCAGAGTGGGACGCTCTCACTCGCCAATGGGCTGTAGACTAGATAAACAGAATACCCTGTATCCTACCAATCAGCTCTTGCTTCCTGCAACTGCTGCCACCTTTTAATTGCAATTGCAATTGCTGCAATAGTTCTGTCTCCATTAGCCTGACCCCTTGCTCCAGGCAAAACCATCAAATTCTGCAAACTTCACACCTGCTACAACCAGTGCACTTACCCACAGGTACTTTCATCCCACGAAGCCATTAAAACCATCTGCTGAAATCTCCTCTCCAGCAACTCACCCAGCCCTTGCTCTTCTGTCTCAGAGCTGTGTGGGGTTAGAAACAAAGATAATCTTATGCCTTTTGCCGAATTGGCCTTTAGTGCAAGTTTACTTATTGATTTGGTACTTGTTGACGAAGGGTGCTTGCGTGGATAGGACAGTGGAATCAGTGCCTTCCTAAACAAGGCACATTCATGTAATGAAAACACTGTCTGTCATTTTTAATGATGTGGGTATGGATCTTCACTTTTGCTCTTCCCGACTCATGGTTTACAGTGAACAGCACATAAGGGAGATGAAGTACAGGAAAAGTCTCTGAACTCCAGAGGACGACACAACTTTAAAGGATTCATATTCATTTATTTCTAGAAAACCTATAAAGCCAGACCCTGCTTCCATTATACTGTTACAGCACCGCAATTATTGTAATAGAATTTCCTCAGGAAACTGTTTACAGTTTCTGATTCATAGGAACCATGGGTCATACAGACATGCCACTGATGCTAGTTTGTTCCTCTAAGACAAGCCTTATGAAGTTTTGCTGTGTCTCATTCTCAGAATATATTTTGGAACACCTTTGATATGCCAAGGTGCTCGGTTAGAGAAGCATAGTTGCTATTATTCAACAGCAACAATTTTTACATGAGCATCTTTATTAACACCCAAGATCTAAGATTTACAGAGTGTTGGGCTGGAAGCCCAGAGTAGTGTCAGGCAGCAAGCCCACCAGCGCTCCTGCAGCAGGTTCTCTACCATGCGGAAGTGTAGCAAGCAGCCAGGGACACTAGAGGGCAGCACATGCCCACTCAATGCTCCTCATCTGGCGGACTAAGTGACGGGAACAGGTTGTCTGCTCCAGTGTCTTTCAAACTGGCCTTGCATCAGAATCCCTGGGAGGCTTGTGAAAGTACAGATTTCCTGTCTCTAGGGGCAGGATCCAGCAGTCTATATATTAAGAATTAAAAATAATCCACATACAAGAAAGCACTGGGCTCTGGATGTGTATTTGGAAGTAATTGGCCTCCAAAGAGCAAGTCTCCCGCACCCCACCCAGTTTTATTGAGATATAACTGACATAAAACATTGTGTTAGTTTAAGGTGTACAACAGAATTATTTGATATATGTACATATTGGGAAGTTACTATCACAATAAGTTTAGTTAATATCCATCACCTCACATGTTACATTTTTTTTTGTTGTGATGAGAACTACTTTCTTAGCAACTTTCAAATATACAATTTAGTATGTATTCTTTTCAAGTGCATATGGAATATTTTCTAGGATAGACCACATATTAGGCCACAAA